CCCGCGGGGAGCTGCGCAGCCGAGGGGTTTATCGGCTCATCTCCCGCTCGCCGCCGAGTGTGGAAACTTTCCTGGGGATGGCTGGGTGCTGCTGCCAGCCCTGCCTCACCTCGGGCGCTTCCCGTGTAATTTCACCTTACCTCTCTATTGTTTAGGCTTACAATGATTGTGCCCACTCACTTCCCACCCTTTGCTTTTCTCTCTTCCCCCCACCATAGGAAAAGCCCCCATCCCGCTTTTATAGCGGCCGTAGGATCCTGATCGTGACTCTAGCTAAGCTTTCCCTTGGACTCATTGTGATGGGTTCTACAGGATCTCTGTTCCTATTCCCTTCCCCTATCCTCTGCCCTTGAATAACAACCCCTTCTCCACCTCCCCAAAATAGGGACTATAAAGCACTCAGAGTTTCCTGACTAGAGAAGCTGTAATCTCTAGTCATCATGAAATAGATTTATGTAGATATTTCCTATAGATTTTTCTGTTAGTTTCCAAATGACTTTGTTAACACATTTAAGATTTTTTTTTTAAACTTTATGTATTTCTTGTGGGGGTTTTATTTGGATATCTGAGATTTTTCTGGTCATAATTTAAATCCTAAATATGTATATATTTACTATAATTCTGTAACCATATAGGCCACATCCAAACAAACTTTGTCAGCAAATGTAGCAGTTAGAGTCCTGTCCTTTGCTAGAAGTACAAACCTGAGGTTAACTTCTATAAACAAGTTGTTACTTCTGCAGCATATTCCAGTGATAAACGGAAATTAGATTCCAGGTTACTCTCCCTTCCTCTGAACAATGTGCTGAACAATGTCTCTTACACTGAGAACCGTCTTTTTTTTTTTTTGCCCGAGAGTCCTTGAACTTTCACTTTTTCTTTCCCCTTCTGAAACTTGCTTTCTAGCACTCAGTAATATCAATATACAGTAAAACAATTGTAAGTACAATAAAGCATACTTCTTTCAAGATAAAATAAAGATGAATTAGGGAGAACACTATGTTGAATAATTTAGTGAACACTTAAAATAATAGAAATGCAAATGAACCAAAAATTTTGAGTGAAAAATCACTGAATTAGTATCTAGTGTGATTTTTAAGGTGGGTATAACCTCTCATTTTTAGACCATGCACATGGAATACGTGTAATAAAATGTATATAATGTGTGTGTGTAATAAAATGCCTGTTTTGTACTATACGTGGTATTTCGTGTTGGTAGAGATAGTGCTTTACCTTGTAGTCAATGATTCCGTAGTACATGGTTTCCAGTGAACCTGTCTACTAAAGTTCTTTTCTCGTGAACTTGCTATGCAAGATTTCTAGCAATAAGAGTTCTAAACAATACAAAAAACTGATTAGCTTTTTAATCATGGAAAACAAATATTAAGTTTAAGTTGCATTATTTTTCTCATTCCTGTGAAATGCAGCTTGATACTTAGAAAACTGGATTCACTGTTGTTAGATTTTATGATGAAAGCAAGATTTTGAGCGTTTACCTTCAGATTTCTGGGTCTGATGCCCATGATATGCCCATGCATATCTTGGTTTGTCTTTGCCAAAATCAGGTGCTTTTAAAGGGATAGGGTAAGACATAGATTTCAGCACAAAGAAAGATGATCCTAATTATATCAGAATATATGATTTTTCTGATATTCATGAGAGAGAAAACATGATTTAGAGATAGGTCTCTGAAGAAAATACTTTTGAAATGTTTTCTGATATTCATTTTTTTCTGCAGTTTTTAGGAATGTAATAATGTAAATAGTTAAATGGAAAAGACAAATGCAAAGAATAGAGTTTTGCAAAGAAAGCTTCTAGATATCCCTTTAAAATGTTTTCAGAGTAAATATTCTGGTAAGAAGAACATGTGTTTTCTTTATGGCCAACTCGGATGTTTTTTGGTTTGTTTATAGTATGATTTTTTTCAAGTGTTAAATCATTTGTAATTGAATAATTATTTCCAAACATTTTTTGCTAAATTATTTTTTTTATTACAGCTACAACATCCATACAAGATTAGGTAAATATTTGCATTATTTTAACCTCCATTTGAGCCTTAACTCAAGTATCAAGAAGTGAGGCTGTGAGATGCACATGCTGTAGTGGTGTACTCTTATGTTCTGTTCAAGTGCACTGTCAGGCATGAGGCTGAAGGCATTTGATTGCCGCACACTAAGATGTTTGTTGCAAAGTTTATTGTTCTTACAAGTTAAAGGTGAGATGAACTTATATTTTTTGTGTTCTATAAATTATTTGCATTTCTAAAATCTGAATTTTCTTACAGTAGCTTCTTTTATAATAGCTACAGAAGTCTGGAGCAGCTGTATCCAGTATTTATTGTGGGAAAGTATTCCTATTAAGTGAGAAGCTGTGCATATATCCTCAAGGAATCCCTCATCTTCCTGATAAGAGTTATCATTGCTGACAAAATTCTTAGTGATAGTGTCTGAATATGAAGCAAAAATAGTGTGTGGAAGGAATGCACTCTTAAGATGGGTAGACCCAAATGAGTGTGTCTGTATGTAATGTATCAAATTATATATACCATGGAACTTCTTGAATTTTAAAACATTCTGTTAATGTAACCCATCACTGTGTGATTTATCTTGTGATTTATGCTCCAAAAACATTTTTTGTGTTATTTTCTCTTTTTTGTTCTTTTGTAGGTTTTTTTCTGGCTTCCACCTGTGAGGCATATTAGAACATTGTGAAAGACTGTCTTTCCTTAATTCTAAAACCAATCCTTCTTTTTACTCAAAAACAGGCTTACCAAATTGTCTTTTTTTTTTCTGTAGAAGAAAGTAGAGTAATTCTTTTATGTTTAGTATGTAAGGACTCCCTATTGCCACTGCAAAAGGGTGTGACGACTTTATCCAGATTGGCACATTTTTTGTGCAAATCAGCAAAATCTGAAGTCTATGCATTCTTCTTATGAGTATGCGTCATCAGCTTGTAAACTGCTCTGAGCGGGGAAAAGAAAGTGAATGAAGCTGTTGGTGAAGCAAAGGCAATAGATGTGGGGCAGACACTTCTGTTTCGGTATATGAGTTTTGTAGTTGCCAGAGCAAGACAACCAAACTCGGTCTGTTAAGATCTCTGAAAACAGTAGAGTGATAGTTTGAAAAGGTTGTTGTTAATGAAAGTGAACATCAACGGAAACTTAACATTGCTCAACTTTCTGTTATAAAAACAGTGATGTTAGTATTAGGAGTCTGCCTTTGCTTAGAAGCAAGCAGATTTGACTTGGCAAATTTCAAAAAAGTCATGCATTTTCATGCAAATAGCCATTGTAATGCAATCCAGATGTATGGGCACCTCTGCTTTAAGAGAAATATCGGACTGTGTGGTGGCTTTTCTAATTTAGATGAGCCTACTGTAGGCAAAGGTGGAAGAGGCTCCTTTTATTACCTTGTGGTCTGTTCTGTGTGACAACGAGGCTCAAATCACTAAAGGAAAAAGCTGTAAGTCAATCTGAAGAAAGCAGTTTTTGTTATGTAAGCTAGGCTATGTTTGTGTAGTATTTTTAAAAGCTGTAGGAACAAATGAACAGAGACTCTTCAGTATTGCTCCAAGAGGCATATGCAGTTGCTGGGTGTTTTCATCCCTGAACCCGGAGCGTGTTCATCTCACTACTGGGCTAGGGACCTCAGTGTTACATTTTAAAATGTGTTGCTGATAATACATTAAATATGTGATTCGTGTTGAGTTTAATCTTAATTTATTTAGAAGAGAATTGCAGCTGTCAGGCACTTGCTACTAGTGTGATATAGCTAAATCAGCTAAACATTTCCTTTGCAGCGTGTTAGTCATAGATCCTTCTAAAATTTTGTTCATAACACGGCTTCACTAGCCACAGCGTATCTGTGTAATACCTAAAATGGTAACATTTTATCTTTTCATCTCAGGGGGTAGTTACTCATCTCCAGTATTGCTTTATGAGCTTTTAAATTCAAACCCTGTTCAGATGCTAGGCTGAGCTCTTGGGGTTTTCTTTGGTTTTGTTTTTGCAGAGGTTCAGTAGCTTGGGTTTTATTGCGTGCAGAGATGGTGCATTTTCCTCACGTTGCTTTGCTGTAATAAGTAATTATGGGAATGGGATGAAAGCAATGTAGTAATTTTTTTTTCCAGAGTCCTAATGATAGCTGTAGCTGTTATATTTTCCATTTATTTCTTCCTGTTCCCTGTTTTGTATTAGTGTTTGAAGTTTATATTAGTGTTCAAACTTTTTGCCTAAAAGGCTAAATACTGTTTGTTGATACAATTTCATTAAGACTTGGGAAATACTGCCTGCCCTGGATGTGTGTTTATTTGGGTATATTGTACTAATGTAAGCAGGTAAAAAGGGAGAGATCACTTTCAGTATTTATATCATATTTGTAAAATTGTAAATTGCTTGTTATTGATGTTAACATGTTGATTGCACCTTTTGTTTCTGTAGCATTGAGAGGATTGAAGTGGCATTCTAAGGTCATTTAAAATCATGACAAGCTCAGTCGGACAGAAAAAAGTCTCTTCAAGACAAAGGAAGTGTGGGTTTTGTAGATCTAATAAAGATAATGAATGTGGACAATTATTGATGTCAGAAAACCAGAAGGTGGCAGCACATCACAAGTGTATGGTAAGTAACCCATGGCAAAAAGGAGCTGAATGTAGTGAAACTACTAGAAGGCTCCAAAACAAATGACAAATTCAGCCAGTTGTGGCATTGGCACAAATGAGTAACCACTATTATTTGCAGTGTTTCTGGTTTTCAAATATGTAAATATTCTGTATTACTTATACCCCTAAAATAAGTTTTGTTTTATGATTTTTAGCTGTTTTCATCTGCACTGGTATCTTCACACACTGATAATGAGAGTCTTGGTGGATTCTCTATTGAAGACATTCAGAAAGAAATAAAAAGAGGCACTAAACTGGTAAGTCTGATTTTGGCCCTGGAAAAAAGTTTTTCTAAGAAGTTTAGCATGAAGTTGTTCAATATATAGTCTTATCTTTTAAGAAAGTACATTTGCTCTAAAGTAATGGAAAACTTGTGAATGTTGAGGTAAAATTGGCTTAAAACTGAACTATTATTTCTTTAAGTGGACTGCATTAAAAAGGTTTTTCCTAAATGGTTCTGATTCAGTAATTTCTATTTACTGTTTTCTGTTAGATTTCAACATGAGTCCCTCATTCTAGGACTTAATGAAGGTAATATTGGGCCTTTAACAACATTTGACTTTGCTTCCAAATTCTGTCTTTAATTATCAAAAATACTTTTATTGCTTCCTTTTATATTGATTTAAGAGAGGGGTCTGTTAACACAGACCTCTTATGAGTCTTACAATGCTAGTTATGGCTCCACCAAATTTGTGAGACTTGAGCAGCAGGGACTTCATTAAATGTTTGCTGATTCTAAGAGTAGCCCTAAATATAGTTATATAACTACAATTATACTAATAGTCCAGTATTTTGATTGAATCTTTTAGCATACATGAAGCTTATCTGAAGCTTAAAGAAAATACTGTTCACAGGTCACTCACTTTGTGATTAGGAATGTAAAACCAACATAGTAGAAAATGGAACTACTTAAGTAAACTCTTCGACACTTGGGTCTCTTAAATGTTTTTTGAAAGTTATTTATTTTTGTGTTACTGGTGGTTTCCTACTTTGTGTTTCTCGATGTCTTTTGTGTTCTGCCACTGATGCCACAGAGGTTTATATTCTTGGAACTCAGTAGCTGCAGGTGTTAGCTTTAACTGGCTCCAGGTTTTGTATAAAACCTGAACAATTCAATAGATTCTCAGTCCTGAGATGTTTCCTGTTTAGAGGGAATTTAACATCTAAAATTATCCTGCAATTTAGGTTTGTTCTTTTACGTGGGAACACACTGAGCGAACAGCTCTGTGTGGTGTGTCAGTAGTTGTACTGCTAAGTTGTATTTGCTGCCAGATTTTTACGTAGCTTCCCTCCCTTAGCAGGTGCTGCTCCTAACCAAGTATGTACTGAAAATTGAGGCTTGTCCTGTAAATTGAAGTGATCATGACTGATATGTGGAGTGTTTCTGACATTAGTAAGTTTTTGGATGAGAAAAATTAGTGGGTTCGAAGCTTAATAGGCCAGCAATAACTTCTTAAATCTAAACATTTGGGAATACAGTCCATTGAGATCATTATTTCTATTATCTGTGACTTTTTTCTTCCTTCTTTTGGAAGAGCTTATCTATTTTGCAGCTGGTTATTCTTCACATATACCTGATATAATCTGTTGATGACTGTTTGGACAGTGGGGTTTGTCCTGGTGCGATAAATATATTTTTGCTGCTGGGAAACCTAGACCACTAAATCAGTGCAACAATTCCTGTGGTCTGTTTTGTTCATGCAGATGCATATTGGTGTTCGTGAAGATAGTTTCCTCCGTTTAATCAATTCTGTGTTTAAAAATAATGAATTACGGACCAAAATTGAATGGATTGATATAATTGCAACCCTAGTCTTTTATAAGTAGCTTTAATCAGCCATTATTATACATTAAATCATATTGTGTAACAAAATTATGATATGAAATAGTCATCCAAATTAGATAAGAACTAAGAAACAGTGTGTAGCTATAGTATTTCTGGTTTTACAAAGGACTAAATGATCCAAGGCTTTAACATTTTTACTGTTTAGTTAACTTTATTAAAATTGAGAAAAGGACAAAATGCTGTATTATAGAACTTTAGTATTACATTTATTTGAGGTATTTGAGACTAACAGGAAAAACCTGCTCAAGCCAAGGAGTCGGGTAATGTGATGGGCAGAAAGCTTATTCAGCAGACACAGCTAGGGAATATCTGGCATTGCATGTTTATGCTTAAGAGTTTGGAATTAATTGTAAGTTTTCAAGAGCAGGAAGGGGAGAGGGAGCGATACGGACATAAAACTCTGGTTATCTTTGGGAAATGCTGAGGTTTGGAGTGTAGATACTAATATCGTCACAAAGTTTTTATTTCTTTACCTAATCCAGTGTGAAAAGAGCAGTGAACAATTTAGAAGCATTGTGGATGGTATAAACTAAACAAGAAAGCGAGCCTGGTGCGAGAAGGATGTTTTTAGGAAAGAAGAGTAGAGATTCCCGTTTAACCTCTTCTGCCATATAAGTAAAAAAATGAAATTGAATATAATTGAAAGAAATTCCTCATATGTAACAAATGTTTTACTGAATTCAGACCTTTGGAAATGATTTAAAGAAATGGATGTATGGGGAAAGGAAGGAATTAGATGTTGAAGTTAAAATTCGCAGGCTGTCAGTATTCCTGACTCTGCAGGATTCACTGCCGACAGGAGATCCTTTTCCTCTAGTAGTCTCCTAACGTAATTCAGAAATAATGAGGTGCAGTTTGTGATTTCAACTTTTCTCAAACGGTTGACACAAGCAGACCATCCTTGGAGACAGAATACTGAGGTGAAAAACCCTGTCACTTCCATCGAGTATGTCATATTCTGTGAAAGTAAATTACGTCCTTGGAGACAGAATATTGAGATGAACAACCCTGTCAATATGTCATATTCTGTGAAAGTAAATTACTTTTTGTCATTCAATGAAGAAGATAAGGGCATGATGATTTTTGAACTGCTGTATAAATGCAGCAAATATCTCCTTGCTTTTAAAGTTTATGAAGAAAAACACTTGCTTTATGAAGAAAGCAGGAAGAGAGGGAGAAAGACGGTATGTACCTCAAAATGAGTAACAGTCCGTAACTCTGCTTGTTTCCACACGGGGAGTTGTAACTCTGTTGTTTGTAAATACAGAACTATTGAAACAACAGTAACGGGAACTGTGGTTTCTCTTTCCTCACAGATGTGCTCCCTGTGCCATTGTCCTGGGGCAACCATTGGATGTGATGTGAAAACGTGTCACAAGACGTATCACTACTATTGTGCTTTGCATGATAAAGCTCAGATAAGAGAGAAACCATCACAAGGCATTTACATGTAACTATTATTTATTTACTGTGTTTCCTTTAGTATTTATATTTCACATTCTCTGTAAAAACGCCTTTGGAATCGTAAAAAAAAAAAAATGTGTTGCAAAACAGTTCTAATGATAATCATGTTCGATATACTGATTTGCCAGAAAAGTGTATTTTCACTGCAAGATTTGTGTATCAGTGAGTCTTACAAGTGGGAGAAAAATGTGCTGGCATTTAAATTTAAAAGATGAGTAAATAATTTGTGAATCGTGACTGACTTGACAGTTTTCAACTACTTTGTTTATAGGATTTTATGTCGAAAACACAAGAAAACAACGCATAACTCTGAAGGTAAAATTATTCAATATAAACTTTTCCCATTGTAGAAAGATACTTTGATTAAATTTTTTTTCAGGAAAATATAAATGTTTTCAGTAAAGATGAGAACTATTTTTTTCTGAAATAATTCCTTTGGAAGCCCATCTGATTTCTGTATTTTCTCTGAAAAATATTGATAGAGATGGAGAAAAACCCAAAATCCAAATTTAAGGATGTTCAAAGTCTAATTTTAGGATGTTCGCTTCTGTCAAAACAAAGTCTGGGCAGACGTAATGCATTCCCTTCTGGGAAGAAGCAGGCCTGTATTTGCAGTTAAATATTTGCAGTAAATGCATTATTTTTGTTGGGTAACAGCTATTTTTGCTATCTCTAACATTAGTACACGTTCACCATTTTTTAATTATTGTGTACAATTTAAGTCTCCAATTAAGAGAGCTTCCATATAAAAAAAGAAGGTTTGTGATCAGATCGCTCAGAGCTCTCTACATACATTAATGAGAGCTGCCTTCCAGCAGAGTAGTAAAATGTGCAAAAGCAGCTAAATTGTGTGGTTAAAATTCCAAGCTAGTTGTGCAATTGTGAGCATTTTATCCTTTTTCATACTAAGAGTTTGGATAAATGAAAGGCTGTTTAACTTTGGCTTATTTTCAACTGAAATTTCATCATAAATTGGAGTACATTGCTGTTTCTTTTAGTGAAGATTAAATTCCATAAGTTATTGCTCTTTCTGCCAGTTATATGCATGAGGTAATAAATTGCTTATTTACTTATTTATGCTACTGGTAGATATATTGATGGTAAGGTTTGAATTTTACTTCAATGTTCACAAAGATACAAAGGAAGTAGAAAATTACCAAGTGATGTATTTTTAGAATGGAATTTGTTGTACTGGAATACTGTGGTGCACTTTGTGTAAAACATCCTATGTTCTCATTTTACTGTCACTAGGCTTAAACCAGCAAAGCAGGGCAGGTGTTCCCCTGATTCTCCAAAGAGCGCCATGAGGCCACGTTGTCTTGTAGTGGGTTTGATCTCTGGCTGTGCTTTGTCTGCAAGCAGAAACAACATAAAGACACTTACGTCCAGAGATGTAACCTCCTGAACTGTCCTTTGGACATAGCGAATGTGCACGTGGCTCATGCTTGTTGGCTATTGAAAAATGCCTCTAATTCTGTCTGGAGTTCAATGCCAGTAGATCTCTGCATGGATTTGCAGGTCCGAGCTGGTGCTTTTCTTGAAGAGTTTTCAGCAAACATTGCTACCAAATATACAGCATCATTCTCTAATAACAGAGGCCTTTACATTTTGTGGCATCTCTGTGAAAGGACGTGGGAAAAATAACTACAAAAGCATAGGGCTTTTTTCTTAAATGTCACTGCTGACATTTAAAAAAACTAAGCCAGAGTCATTCAAAGAGACTCTCAGACTAAGGGAAAGAAAGAGGAAGAAATAACATCCGTCCAAAAAAAATCTTATTTAATGTTTAATTTTGTTTTTAATCTTAAATATTTTGTTCCATGACACTTTACATTTTTATAAATCTGTGCAGTTATACTTCAACTTTGATTTTTCTGTTTTTAATCTCCATCTGAGATTTGTAACCCAGTGCTGTCTCCCACATAGTGCATTCTCTTTGTCCAGGCCATAGAGTTTAGGGAACTCTGCTATACTATAGCCATGGAAATGTCATTACTTAGCTGTAGATTTGGTAATGCCAGAGTCTGAGGTTGCCATTAAGAAGGAAAAATGCACTTTGTATCTCTTGTGGAAATGACTTAACATTGTATAACTCTGGTGTTTGGCTACACTGAAAGCTCGTTGCCTTGGGAGGATAGAAATTATGTCTATAAAGGAGAAGATACAGGATGCTTTTCCGCAGTGCGAGGGGCTTTGGAGAGTGTTTTGTAGTATTTAAGTGCTGAAACTTGCTTAGTGCAATGCCAGCTGGGAGGTGGGGGGCAGTAGGGTAGCACAGGCATTTCTGTGTCTGCACTTTATTGGCTTGATTTTGTGGAAAATGCGAGTATCAGAGGAATGTGAGCCTGAAAGGGTGGTGCTGTATCAAACCAGAAAATCCTTGCAGAAAAGAGTGAGCAGACTAGCCAAGGCTACTAGACACTGACAGAGCAGCTTTTTTCTTCTTTTGTTTCTGGATATTCATGAATTCTTGCTCTCAGCAGTGTTTCTGTGCCAAAATAGTTAAAGCTAATCCGTGGGGTGTCACTCAATGTACTTCCCAGAGCTGCTGGAATTGCAGCCCTTTTCAAAGGAAACTTGCTGCTTCTGCTCTGGGCTGCTGGGTTTGGAACATCTGTATTTTTATCTTTTGTCCTTTGTATTTGGATTTAATTGTCGCAATCCACTTTTTTATTAGATCACTTCTGTTAGTGGACGGTGGAATTTTAAGTGTGAGTGGCTTGATGTCAGCTAGAACAGTAGTTTTCTGTTGACAATACTGCTGGTTAACAGTGGGACTTTTCCCTTCCCTTCCCTAGAAAACTGGTGCTTTTTTGCATCCTTGCTCAGATCTGAGATATGACTTACCTTTTGTTAGAAGTTCTAGTCAACAATAACAGCAAAAACTTTAACAATTGTAACTGGTGAGGAAAATTTCCTGAAACCGCAAAGAGAATTGGTTGAAGGACCTATGTTGAATTACCCCATTAAAACCTAAGAAAAAGAACCTCTTAAATGTGCTTGCTCTCATAAAGTTCAAGTGGAGAAAATGCATCAGACTAAGTCTTCCTATTCATCAAGACAAAACCAATACGACAGGAGTTACTACCTTTTAATTGACAGGAGTTGTGTTGAATACAGAAGGATGAAACCTGGTGGCATGGTAGTGAGCTCTTACACCCATTCTCTGTTTGCTCAGCGGATAGTCTTTTTTTGCTAAGTTGTCTATATGGCCTAGCTTTCAGGTGACATAGAGTGTCAGAGGTAATTGCATCTCTCCTGTTTGTTCCATGGTGTGTTTATATATTTCAGGCAATTTTTGATGCGCTATTATCCCACTGTCTAGATAAAGAACAGTAAAAGAGAGGTGCTGTAACCCTTTGCTGTTATAGATTTGGAAAGCCTGTTCAGAGGAGCAGCCCGTTGTTGAAGGTTTGATGTCTAGGTCTTTGTCTTGCTGCTTACAAAACTAACTGCAAATCATCTGACCTGAACCTCAGCTGGAGGCTTAATTCATAGTCTAAGCAATCCCTCTGAATTTTTAGTACCTCACAGGTTACAGAAATTGGTGTTGGTGCCTTGGGACTACCACAGCTTTCTAATAGTTTAATTACTAATTATTTTGGTATAATAACATGTATTATTTTAGAAGAATATTGTTAAACTAAATTTCCTGAACTATTTATTGGAATTTATTCCAACATTTTGGAAATAATTGCTGCAAAAATTTATATTTTGGTGTCCTTGAATTCCTTGCAGGCAGGACTGCCCTCTCCTTTCTATATTTGCAGCTAATTGAGCTGCTCAGGAATAGTTTAACATTAGCCAAGATAAGAGTGTGGTATCTTGTTGTTCTGTTCATCTGTTGCATGGTAATGTAATGAATAATGATGAAGACAGCCCTATGACTATATCTGTTGTTAATGCTTAAAACAGATGCGTGGGAACTAGGGGGTAAGAAGATAAAGGGTCCATAATTCCTGTTTGCTTGTACTCAGAGCTGCAGGGAACTCTGTTTCCATAATGGAAACAAGAATGTTCCCCCTCTCAGCACTTTTTATCATGTTCATACGAGCAGACGTGAAATCTGTTTCAGTAATTCAGGATAATATTTCTCTGGAAGACCTACTTAGAGATGCTGCAATCTGCATCAAACCAATTACTTATTCAAGGTTCTTTTTAAGCTGGAGGTTGGCAGGAAAAAAATCCAAAACATACGGGCATTATTGAGTAGGTAACATCTTGATTCGCCTTCAGTCAGTGTTTCTTCGTAGCTGCTTTTTCTCTAGGTTTGCCTCCACCTGGCTGCGTTAGCACACGCAGCAATAGCAGTTTCCCTGGCCTGGCAGTTCGGCTGGGACGTTTCTGCTGCCGGATGGTTGCAAATTCCGTCTCGGCTCCACCAACCCCGAGCCCCTCTCTCCTGGAGGAGGCTGCCCTGGAACGGCCCCTAGTCCCGTGCTAGGGCAGAACCGGTTGCTCCAGGGTCAGTAACCCTGTGTCCAGCCTGCCGCAGACCACGTTACTAAAGAGGTGTTTTGAGGAAGCACCGCAACAGCTAAAGGAAAAGCAAGAAATCCAAAAGTAGCATGGTCAGTGTTGTATACCCTCTGAGAAGCTGCTCTCTGTTATTTAAGTTATAATTCTGGCAAGACATTATCCAGTTACTAACGAAAGATTTACCGGACAGCTAGTCAAGCTCTGATTTTGCAGATAAGTTAGATGCTGTGATTCTTTTCAACCTTGACTAACAATTATTTGCTTTAAAAAGAGCTTAGACTGTATGATTACAAAGGAATATTTTATTCATTTTTCTATGTTAAGTGTACTCAACTAAACAAATAATTCCAAGTACTTTGTACTATAGAAGATACTATTCAGTCAAAAATGCAGTGTTTTGCAAGGTTCAGCAGTTTCTTGAAATGTCTGGTACTTTTGAAAGAGTATTGCTAACTGGACCTAGAGGGTAATTTAACTTTTCCCTCTCTCCTCTTACTTTCTGTATTTTAGGTGTGTTTCATGTAACTGAGTCTTCTCACCACTTTTGAAAAGAAACAGAACATCTAAAAATGACATTCAGAATTTTGATCTTTAATTTCACATAACTTTCTGATACAAGCTTCTGTTTCATGACCTGTTTACCTGATTCCATATTTGTTCGCAACAGTTTTTATGCAAGTCTGGTTCTTATTGCTTCTTATAAATGCATTCACATTTTCATTATTGACTGCTGGAGCAGTAAGGTCTTATGCCATTTCTTTTCAATTTAAAATAATTATGTTGTCACGTGTGGTTCATTATTTTTTCCATCATGTTTTAAAGACATCTTAAACATG